CAGGTGGTCTAAACTAAACTATTTATTTCACAACCATTTAACGAAATACATTCATAATATATAATCATGTTTTACGTTTAATTTCTCAATAACTACAATTCTTTGTTTTTTATTTTTTAAAATAATAGCGTCAAGAAGTCTTACGTACAGGAACGATGCAAGCTACTGAAGAAGAAGAGCTTATAAGGCGAGCTAGAGAAGGCATGGAAGATGGTGAAGATGCACAATTCTCAGTTATGGTAAGCATGACTATATCGTTGTATTGAATAAATAGAATATGGTCAGCAGTGGGATCCAGGACACGCATCTCATCCTGCTTGGGACTCGTCAGTTGGATGTAGCTGCATTCTGAATTCCACTGCTCGCTATATTTCATCTGTTCTTTACATAAACTTGTGTCATAATGGTTATTTCGAGGGAATCCGCACTGGATGCACACATGACAACTAAGACTGATCAAGGTTCAATCAAAATATCAAAAAATTAAATAATTCTAATCAACACAGATTAAATTATATTGTTGTTTCGTGAAGATATTTTAAAAGGGCAATTAATGCTTAACAATAATTTCGTGAATTATTTAAAATCAGAACTTAGTTTATGAGATCATCCATAGAAATTATGATGTGAACAGGTGTACGTGTAAGTGTATTAGATAATCCGTAGTTAATTATTGGCTAAAAGATTATTTCATTCACTGACCAACATTGCTCAAAGGATAATAAAAATAGTAGAAGGCATTAGGCAGATAGATACCTTATCATTTACAAGAGGGACACACTGTTACGGAGTCGATAGACGTGTTTTCAATCAGTTTATTTTAAATATGCTTGGAGTATTGAAATGATAGGGAAGACGGGTAGCTTAGGGCAATGTTTTCGGTTATGTTGTGTTCTTTTAGCTGAGGTGCTCTAATTGTGAAGTTTTCTTTGTCGTTCTGATCAACGTCATCAGCACTTATTTCATTCAACCCAAGGAACGTAACATATTCCAAAGTCGAACTATTATTGGATAACATCAGTGAGTGTCCACTATCAAATCCAACTTGATTTTATGGGTTTTTTTTAATGAGAATACATCTGTTACAGAATATCCTTGATTTAAATAGTTTAGAAAGCGCTGCAGTTAACTTAAAAGTAGTTTCAATTGGGAACTTAGGAGAATCGAGTAAACTAACCAGTTGTTTAGTCTTAATCAAGACTTAAAATGAAATCCGAAGTATAATCACCATTTTAATTTTATTATAAAGAGAATATTTGTAAAATCGACGGCAAATTTGTAAACGTTTGAAGCCTATAAATTAAATATAATTGTGACTTAAATGATCATTTAAAAGTAAGACACTATATTATTTAGACGTATGTATGAATATTTTTGTCGTATGTGTTAGGATTAGTTAATCTTCATGGAAGATGAACAGCTGTTACGTAGGAGTTGGGGCTGATGTCGTTTTGTAACCAAGTACAGTTTCATTTACTAAGTTTTAAGTAGCTACATTTATATGAGGGATACTTCTCTTCTTCAGTTGAAGTAGGATTGATTCTGTAAGTCATTTAGTCGATATCTCATTACTTCAGCATTTGAACGACTAAATATCGCCACTATTACAGAGAGTGTTATTAGTATAAATCACTATGATATGTTAGTCATAGTTGTTTAAGGCAAGAAAAGGTGTATGTAGTTGTTTTATTTACTGATATCACCTAAAATCATTTGCCACAGTTTCTAAGACAATTAAATTTAACCAGGTAGCGACTTTCCCACAAAATAATCATCTAATTAATGTGTGATATACATTCAAGTTGATTGTAATTAACTAGGTACTTGGAATGATCCACCTTTATCCTGATACATACACTAGGAATCGATTGTTATGAATGCCTTTTGTTTATGATCACACAAATTATTTTTTATCTTATAATATACTCATTAATGACTAACTTGAAGAATTTCTGAAGTTCTAGTAAAAATCTGTGATCATTGAAGTTCATATGTGTCAGTTGTCTTCGATGGTAATGGTTAGGTTATGTTGCAAATTAACCATTTAGAAGTATGAAGCATTTGTCGAAAACTAATTAGTTGAAGGGTAACACCTTGGGCACAAGGTCCTGGATTCTGTGGCTGGCAGCGCCTCCAGTACTCATCACCTACCACAAAGAAATTTTGTACTAGGACAAAATAATTCTCCAATGTTCTTTGGGAGGATGTAGTGATTGTTTAACTGAAATCAGCTTATGATCTAAACCACATGTCTTTATTTCACCCATGATGCGTATTATAAATTTATCTATTGTTTCATTCTCATTTTGTCGTCTAGATTCCAGTTGAAGATCAATCTTTCCTTTGGTCCGATAAATATAGACCAAGAAAACCACGTTTCTTTAATCGTGTTCATACTGGTTTTGTATGGAACAAATATAATCAAACACATTATGATTTAGATAATCCACCGCCTAAAATTGTTCAAGGCTATAAATTCAATGTTTTTTATCCGGATTTAATTGACAAAACTAAAACACCAACTTATACATTAACATCATGCGGTGAAGCAGAGAAAGATTTTGCTATTCTACGTTTTATCGCTGGACCACCATATGAAGATATTGCATTTAAAATTGTTAATCGTGAATGGGAATATTCGTATAAACATGGATTTCGATGTCAATTTCAAAACAATATCTTTCAATTATGGTTTCATTTTAAACGATTTCGTTATCGTCGATAATGGAGATGAAAATTACTTTATACTACTTATACATTACAAAAACTTGTATATTCTGTATTTTCACATTTGTTATTTAATAGAATGTATATTCTGAACTTTTTTTTGATATTTTGAATTCATATATATTCCATTCAAACTTGATCAATATAGTAACGCGGTTTTGTGAATTTTTCTGTTATCACATACATGTACTGACAACTACATTCTATCCGTTTAACGATAATGCCCGTCGATTACTGAATATAAACAAAGCATGTTGTAAGCAAGTCGTGTGACTGATTCATCATCATTACATTAGTTCGTAATACCTCACTTCATGCTTATTTCATTTAGGGGTACCTCTGAATACGTGAAATCCTATTTCAACGCTGATGGTTAAACATCTTTGGTATTTTAATGTTGTCCATTGTTATTAGGAATGTTGATTAAATGTAAATTAGTAAGGAATTTACTATTCTGTCATAGATTCGAAGTGGTAAGGGACTGATTTTTTTTAATGTTGATAATCTGTTCTACTTATCAAGATATGATATATGTTTCCATTGAGAACTTACTAACAAATCAAAACTAAGATGAGTGAATTCATATCTATATGTTGATCTGGTTGAAAAATTGTCAACAGTGAATTACAGTAACCTGTTTTTTTTTCAGACTCACTGTCGCTTAGCCTTTGTTTGTAACGAAACAATATATCAAGATGTATGTCGATTTAGATAGTTACATATAAAAAATTATTTTATTATTTATTTTAACACAGATATTGGTTCAAGGAGGCACCAAATACATATGCGCCACATAGATCTCATTTGATATGTGTGAGGGTTGTGATACTGCCCGGGTGCCCAAACCGAAGCAGGTGGTTTTCTTAGGGGGCCACTCCCCGAGCCTTCGACCTGAAGGTCTGATCCACAAGGCAGTGGAGCAACGTAAGGAGATGGATTCCCATAGTAGCCGGTGACCAACGATTGGTTCATACGCCATTTGTTCCTTCAGGATACTGGAGCCCATGTGCGCCATTGGTTCGAAATAAGAATTTTCCAACTCCCCTAGATATGGACTCTCCATGTCCACCAACAAGGTTAAAGCGCCGGACATTCGCTTTTCGTCCTCTCAATTTCGCAAACAACACCCCCACTACGAGAAGGCAGTGGGTAGGACTTCCCTGGCAGAGGCTATTTACGCGTGGCCATGTGAGAGCATTTCGAGAGGTAGAGCGGACTCCCCCCACTCTCGGCCGTACCAGAGCATTTGGGGGCATAACGAGGATGGCTCACCGGATATACAAAATAAGCTGGTTAATACTAGTTCATTAAAGCTATATTTGACTTCAATGTTTCTATCACTATTGATGAATTACTATGACTCATTCCCATGGTTGAAATGCTAATATTAACAATTCAATTAGATTAATTACAATACACACTTGGCACGTGTCCTCAGTTCAGTTGAGTGATTTGAGGTATTTTACGTAGTGAAATGGATCATGTAAATATAGTATCTTGTTGGATATATGTTAGACATTGATTTCCATTTCACCATTTTCATTCCTTAACTGTCCATTTAATAACATGTAAATCCACTTTTGGTTAACACTGAATCATAACACAAGAACTATGCGTATATCACATTAAATAAATTTTCTTAGTGACATTGAGTTATTTTCACTTTAAGTGGGGGATAAACCACACGATACTGATCACATACTGGCTACAATATCGATGCCGTTATTTATTTAATAGTGGTAGTTTTGAAAGTGAACTGAAAATAGGTTTTCATTGATAGCTGAATTGTATACACGAACAGAAACATGATTCTCTGTGCACCGAATAGATTATCTTTTCAAGTAGATACAATTTGTGAGAATTTGCAAAAGTAGGAACATCAAGATGATACCTGGAGGTCAAGTCAAGGAAAACTAACTTAATAATGAAACTATGACAGTAACAAGGTTTAAAAGTACCGATTAGTTTGCACATGAACCTTTGGTACATCGAGAGCTTAACCTACCTCACAAATGATTATTCAGCTATTGAGTGGTCGAAAAAGGAAATTATGTTTACTGAGGTCTAAATCATATTATCTGACAGGCTAAATGATGGAAGAATATCTAATTTGAAGATATATGTGGTTCGCTACGTTCAATCTAGGCATTTGTTTCTTGCCACTGTATACCAAAGTTGTTATGATTTCTCTTATTACGACCGAGCTATTCCTATTGCTTAGTATTCTTAGACAACAATTCACTCGACAAGTTCCCAAATCAGAACACGGAATTTTCTTTTCAAATATCAAGGATATGCTTTACTTCAATCATTGTCCCGCTAAAAAAAGTAGAGCAGCATCTAATGACATGTTTCACAGAGGAAGTTATCACACATTAAGCTCTTAAAGAGAATATATCTGCAAGTCAAACGAAGGGAATGAGTAACTTGAACGACAGGGCTGATAACATGGAAAAAATAAATAACGATAGTTGACAATGACAGAATTTACTGATATGCTATTAATTAGTTATAATCCATAAAGATTTTGAGCAAATGTTCTGAATATCAGCGGTGTAGATAGTATATTTTTCTGAATGTATAACACAGGAATTATGAAATGATAGGAATTTCAAATAAAGTGCACTACGGAGAAAGCTAACTATACAGAAAATATCTACACGAAAACCACCAAACTTGAAAACTTAAAAAGAAAGCAGAAATGAAATTATGTTGATGTTAATAATCCGGATAAAGCAAATCGGTTTTGAAATGATGGATATGGGCAAGTGAGTAGTGGAGGTTTAGTTGAATCCAAAAAACTGAATTTATCATTTTCTTTTTCAGTCTCTAAAGCTGAGGATTTGATAATTTCACGAAGTTCTATCCAGGAAACAATTAAATTAGAATCAAAATATGCATTATTAAAACAATTAGATGATGATTGATTTATTATCCGAGCGAAGGAATCACTTAATGAATAACCAAGTTGAGATTGAACATGTTCACCGAAAACTGAATCAATGGTAGAAAGTAAATCAATTTCTGTAACTTGATCATATGTATTAGTATCACTGTCAAATTCATGATTATTTAGCATTTTAAAATGATTAGAATCAGAGAACAATGTTTCAACTTTGGATGCTTGTTCAACTTCATCTAATTGAGGCGCAAAACAACAATTCAAAGCACCAGGATCAATGGGATGAGCTTCTGTATTGAAAATGTAACCACCTGATTCTGGATAACATTGAAGTCCTGACGGTAAACGAGAACCTTCTAACGACGTTTTTTCACCTGGTAACTGATGTATAAAGTTGTTTTCATCAAATAATAGGTATAAATATTTTGTTGTTTCGGCTAGAAAAAACGACTCCATTCTGTCTTCCAAAGTATGTTTTGTAACATCTGAAACCTAGAAGAACGGATACTGTATAAATATTCTTGTTTACATAAGCAATTTAAGCATAATAAAAGAGTTGTGTATTAATGTGAGGGCTAGCGTAATACACAAGGGCCAAAATAAAAGTAAATGGCTTTTTAAGGGGTTTCTCCATGAGCCATTTAACCTAGAAGTTTAATCTATAAAGCAGTCGAACGTTAGAACCCATCCCATGGTAGTTGATGACCAATTTCATAAATGAGTACATAATTGTTTACAAACGGCAAAGTGTGCAGTCAAATTTTTTTAGTTGAGAGGTTTAAGTCAATAATCGGAAAATCTAAACCCTGAGACTGGAGGATCTGTGAAACAGAAGTGTTATCACAAGATAATCGTATAGACTTTCTTAAAAACTGGAAGATTATATGTCACTGAAGTGTTAGTTATCACATCAATATGAATTCTAGACTCAGTCAATTACAGGATGAATATCCTCAGTGAAGATATTTGAAATTCATTTTTTTCACTGTAAAAGGCAGTGATGATTCACTGAGTTAATGATATTAAATTATACTAGGAAACTAGGGCATCTTCAACAAACTACTAATGCTTATAAAAACAACAATAAGCTGATTGCTTTTTTACCGTAAATGAATATAACAATAAATAAACACGAAAATATTTACCGTCGCAAAACCACAAGGTGTACGCGCTGAGACTTCAATTGAAGTCAAAATGTCGACGCCCATATCAATCAGAGCAGGATCACGTGTCGCACGATATACGTAGAGAATGGATTCAATTAATTCTATTGAAAAGAATAAATCCATCTATTATTTTAACATTTTCACGAGAAAAATATTTCAAGAATGAAGGAAGAGCATAACTCAGAAAAGATTGACGAAAAACGAACACTTTAACCACTAAGTCTCAGGTTCAAACTCTGCTTCACTTTGAGCAACTGGGTAATGTCACCAACTTTAACAGCTTATACCTAAGCTAATTTAAAACTATTTTATTTGGATAGCCTTTTATTAGTATGTAGGGTTTGTTTTTGACACATTTGTTTTAGATCCTACGAATTGTTACATCAGTAGTGAAAATAAAAAAAACGACTTCTAAACTGAACAATATTTTTTTACCTGGTCGTAATGGGTATGCCTCACGACCCTTGTAAGCCTTTTCATCAGATAAACTATAGAACTCCGGAAGAAATCCATATTTTCTCCATATTTCATGATAAGCAATCAAATGTCTGCGAGCACACTCAATATCACCTGTAAGTGCCTATAATGATTATACAATCAAAGTGAATTTGTTTTATATTAAATATTTTAAATTACATTGCTAAATTTACTTGATAAGACTGCTAACACAAAAAAACACTTATAAACTTTAATTACTATAACTTCTTGATAAAGAAACTTAAATGAACTGAAAGTAAAAACATTTCATGGACACGTGCCATATGAGAACGTTGCCTGTCGCTTACTAATTGTCAATCAAATTGAAGGTGGGTTCAAAGTAAACACTGAAGATTTTTAACCTTCACTTACCAAGTTCATAAGATAGTAGATTTTATTGTCAACTTTGTAAACATATGGGACTTACTAATATACATCTCAACATCAAAGCTGAATAAGATTGGAAGATGACCACTGTGTTAGTTAGAATGTTTTAAAATAGTAGAAAAAACCATTTTATCCAATGTCACTTTACAGGGAATATATTCAACGTGTATTCTAATAATTTTGGATTGGAATAAACAATTTAAAGCGGTTTAGAAGACAGTTTACATATATTTAGGACAAGCACCAGTATTTAGAAAGAGTTGGTCAAAAAATCTGTTTAAAGTGATCTCTAAGGATACTATTCGTCTATATGAAAGATCGTGTATTCTAAATAGCCTCATTTATTAGAAAGTAAATAACTGGTAAAGTAACTGTTTGTAATATAGAATCTGCGAAAGCCTATAGCATGGAATCCTCTTGTACTGGTAAAATATTTCAAAAACAGTTTTGCAAGATGGCATAAATCGTTTTGTAGGAAATAAGTAGTTCCTTAATTCATTCACCTTTAGAGGCAACAGTACTGAATTTTATTTTTATTACAGGAGGCTTTGTAGAGATTATTGGATCTTCATGGTTTTGAATCATTAATGGCCAGCTTCAAGATGAATATCCTGGAGCTTTAGTGATGAGTCATGACCAGTGGAGTTCGATCATGTTGAATCTAAGATAGTTATCCACCAGAGACAATGGAAGATGGTCGCGCAATATTGTGAATTGATCGAAGCTAAACATGTACACCACTGAGTGTTAGCTCAGTGGTTAAATTGCTGAGCGTTCGAGGGCGATACCGTAGGTCCTGAATTCAATCCTCGGTGACAGGGTTGTAGATGCGCACTGCCAAGGAGCTCCATACTAATAAGACGAAAAACCCGTCCAGTGCTTTCCGGTTTTTAATGATGGTCTAGCTAACATTAATTCGTGATTTAAAGCTGGGTATTTTATTTCACAAAAATGGTAAACACTCATTCAGAAGACAATTTTTGGTTCCAATGTTTCTGTGAAAATAAACTATAACTACTTTGAGAGGGATCAATCATTGTACAGGTAATATACCGCACAAATAACAATTTTTTCTTGAGCATACGTATCTGGTGACTAAGTAAAGATATAGTAAAGTAGATGGAGATATATACCTTATGAGAAACTACAACATACAAATTTATTCTTGTCTTGCACTTAGCATAAAACTAAGAATGCTGACAATATAAGATAAGACTCACGATGCATGTGCTTGGGAAATCAGTCCGAATTGCATAAGTCTCACTAATTTAATGCAATTCGTCTATCACGTACGACTTTAGGCCATAATTGAGTTTACCTAAGAACTAGTAATACTATTCGAGCGAAGATTAAAACTGGAATTCAATCGACTTAACAGAGAAGTCACCGTTTTATATATGTCGCAGAAGTCCTGAATAGTGCTTTTAAAAAAACAAAAGAATCAATGATGTAAGACAAAATCCAAATTAAACGAGTTTTTTTAATACATAAACAGATATTTAAAAACAAACAAATGAATTACCAATAAACCAGGCCAAAATGCTTCAAGACTCTGAAATACTGCCATTGTAACTCCACCTTTATCCTTGTTTATCATTGGATTCCAATCACCATGTCGAATATGCTTTTCTATTGCTAATCTGTACTCTACAGTTGTAAAGAAAAATAAAAACGGTGAGCACAGTACTTTTATGGCTTACGTCGTAGACATTCTTCGACTGATTGTCTACCTAAGATCAGCTCGTTATCTTAACTTTAAAATCCAACAATATCCACGAAATTCTTATCCCAAGAACACAATTCTCCCTGTAGGATTATCAACGTGTAAAAATTTCACTAATGTTTAGTAATGAGAATAGCAAAATCTATTCATTTTAAGTTAGTACAATTATTGGCACATCAATGAATAGTGACAACGAAATCTATCACTAGTAACTATTTCAGTCAAGCATAACGTAGAACCTAAAGCTTGTGCACATCAGTTTACGTTTTTATACCCCATTAACGCAAAGAAATGAAATTGCTAAGGCGAATTCCAGGATAGTAAATGTAGTTGCAGTATTATTGGTAATGGAAAAGACTAAGGATCAACTACACGATTCAAAAAAATGTGAAATAAACAAATTGCAACGAATCTAGGAACTTAGGATGTAGAAGACAAAAAGTGGATGCACTTGCGCCACTGCGAACGATTTTGAGCTACCTCATTCAAAGTACCTAACCATTAGTTACGATAATCACGTAGATCCCAACCAGGTAGTCTTCATTTATAAACATGAATCAGTTCAATCGCCAATGGCTTCAAAGACTAGATCCATGTTTTAGCTCGGCCGCCCTTAGCTCTTTTTCAAGCTACCTCAGGCCAGAAAACACTGCTCATCGAAGTAGGGAATGGTTAGGTGTACGTAACACATGTCCCGATCACCTTAGTTGGTGGAGATTTACTACTTCATAAGTCAACTTCCCATCTTTACTTGGTACCATATTCCTAACTTCGATGGTCCTAAAACACACGAGCAATGCTTCGAAGACACCTATGATCGAATACTAGTAAGCTACCGATATCCTCTGTTATTAATGGCTATGTTTCAAGGCAAGAAAGTGGGACGGAGAGGGTTGCTATGCGACAAAAACTTCCTTTGTTTGGTAAACGGATATCTCGCCTCTTACACAAGTGACTCAGGTTGACTATTTCATGATGTACCAAAAATTAATACTTTGTTTGGGATGTTGTCAATCTTTTCAATATTTCTATATTAAATAAAAATAATATTTAGGATGTAAAGTGCGTATCTAAAGAGTTGTATTTACTGCTATTGTAACAACTATTGTAAGGCCAATCAATTTCTCATTATATCATTCTTTAAATTAGTGAATAAATTATTCAACTACTTAATCGACGAGAGGAATTCTTTACGTAACAGCTACATGGACACACATATTACTACAAGTGGGTTGCGTATGCAAATTACCGAAAGCATTTTCAATTTAGAAGCTGAGATGAGTCACTTTCTAGGAGGGATAACGTTAACCTTAATATCCGGGCTAGCGACGTTACTTTATCAACAAGAGGAGGCCAAATACAGTTTCCACTGGTTCGTTTTAATCGGAAACCATTTTGATTTTCGTAATGTGTAATAAAGATTCCAGAATTTTGTTCATTAGTTGTGATCTGAATTCTAACTCCTTACACATAGCCGCTCTCTTAAGAATGTACATCAACACAAAAGCGAACATTTCACTTGCAAATATTTTCAGAAAGTGAAAGGTATTTTTTACGAATGTCCCCAGTGTCCTGGTATGATCGGGGGTAAGGAAAGTCCGCTCTCCGTTTCGAAATGCTCTCACGTGGTCACATGTATACAACCACTGTCAGGGAAGTCCTTCTCACTGACTTCTCGTGACGGGGGTGTTATTTACAAAATTGAGAGAACGAAAAGCGAATGTCCGGCGATTTAATCGGGTTGATGGATACGGAGGGTCCACCTAGGGGAGTTAGAAAAACTTGATTCCAAACTAATGGTGCACATAGGCTCCATGATCCTGAAGGGAAAAAATGGTATATGGACGTATTTTTGGCCGCCGGCTACCGTGAAACTGCATCTCCTAACACTGTTCCATTGCTTCGTGAATCAGACCCGCAGGTCAAAGGCTTGGAGAGTGGTCCTTTGAGAAAATCACCTGCTACCGTTTGTGCTCCCGGGTGGTATCCCAACCTTCACACAAATCGAATGAAGTGTGGTGCATCCCTGTACAAATGTATGTGTTTAAATAAATAAATAAATAGATAAATCTTCTTCGAATGATGAACAGAGAATGAGCACGACTGAGTTTTCGAGGCGCTTATTCAGGTTATCGTTGATTTACGGGTCTATTAGTTCCATCATGATTATTTATCTCCATGTCAGAAAGTGAAGCATCCATCGCATTAAAATGTGATCATACCGCTTTGAAACCTTAAAATATCTTGAAAATTCATTTATGTTAAAATCTGTCGAATGTATTCATAAGAGGAGTTTTAAAGGTTACTTTTCTGCCTAGCCAGATAGTGAGAGTACCTCACTTGCCGAGACAGCATACGGAGCTTGATTACAAAACTCGTTTTCCACCATTTTAGTATGAAGTAGCATTTCCCAATGTATCTCACTTTTGATCACTTTCACATTTATATATAAATGACTTTGTGAGCCGTTTTTTCCACCCTAGCACTAGATACGTTCAAATCTGGCTCCCGATAACTGACACAAATAGCCTCAAACAGCTAAGTTATTCGAACACTGACACTACCAAAATAATGATGGAAATAGTGAAAGTAAACCACTCCATTACGATTTAAAAACAACACTTCTGCAAACCTCATACCTCGAAACATGGAATCCAGCTCAGGAAGGCGAAATAGTGCTGCACCTTTAACCAAATATTCGAAATAAGAATCGACTCCTGAACCAATAGTGGCATCGCGGGCTGTCCAACTTCCAGTGATAACATCAATATGGTTTCCCAGTAATCCAAGAGAAGATCTGTATTTCCACATAGCTTTAAGAGCACGCGTTGCAACAGCCTCGTACCTGGGATCTCCTAAATGGAAAATTTATGTTGTATGAGGATACTTACCGAAAACAAGAAAAGTGACACCTTAAAATTTTAGACTAAATTTTACAAGCACACAGTTCTCGATAAAAAGGTACAACCAGAGGAAGAAATTTCCTGGTTTTTCAGCCGTAGAAATAAGATTGCTGGTTTGCTTTTGCTCAGAATGCAGAGGTATGGTAACTTGAGGTGACAAAAATGGGCCAAAGAAAATACAACTTGACTTTTGGTGAAGTTAAAAAAGCATATAGTGGCAAAAGGGAAAGTACAGTGAGGGAAAATCTGACTGAAAAGTCGGTCGGCGCATATTCTGTTTCATTGATTTACGTGAAGCAACCGACAACGGGGACTTGATATGCGGGTACATGAATGAAAATCCGCAAAATTTGAATCTTATTGGCACTCATGTAGAAAAAACAGTGTAGAAATCATATCAAGGAGTTGGCCATTTTAGATAAAAGCCTACTACATCGATAAAATGGATGTAGAGCGGTAGTCTAATGATTTCGGAACTAGGGTCCTAACCACACAGCTGCCAAGCGTTCGCATCAGGTGTTATATATAAGCATACGCAGAAGTCATGAACGAACAGTGAGAGCTAAGTATAAGTATGCAAGTATATATGGGAAAATGTTAGACAAGAAGAGAAGAACAAATATAGATTTCATGTACTGAAAGTGTAAATATGTTCAAAAATAACGAAAAATAACATGACTCAAACACTACCTGTAAGGCGAGATAGTGCCCCAAACTCCAAAATAAATGTACCAATGCCAGCAACGCACGTGACTGTAGTCTCGCCTTTAGGAACGCCACCCAGTTCGAAGTTGACAGTGCCGTATGGCATCCCGGTTGGGGTGTCGAAAGCAGGCAACAGCTTAGAAGCAAACACTTCTGCTTGCCTTAGTAATGGTCCAGAACATGGCCAAGATGGTTCTACTTCAAACCCGGCTCTGCGTGACAAAAGATGAGCCGAGATGAGCCCGCCGACAACTAAAGGGTATAAAATAGTCAAATTGAAATACCTCTGATGTTAGTTTCGAAAACGGAAGCGTTGACATTTTTTTCAGAATCTAAGTGATCAAGAAGAGCACGTGCAGCACGACGAAACTCAGTAACATTGTCCATTATAACAAGTGTATCAAGTGCATCTACAAGTGTCAGCGAGAAGCTCCCCCATGTATCATGCCCATCACATGAAAGCGGTCTTAACTCATCTAAAGGATATGCATACTTAAGGTAATTATCGTAAGCATGATAAAATATTTTTCTAACGCGGTCTCTAAATGATATGAACAAACTGAAAATTGGAATTACTTGAGGTTTTCCATATTATGTGCGAAACCAACTTCACTGTCAGTAACTGCTAACAGTAGGATCACAACACTAATCCGAAACATTCTGAAGATAAAAGAAGGAAAAAGCAACTTGTAAACCCCTCAGACACCTCTTCTTGATTTCATTAACCAATCAACTATTAACCTTGAGATTGAAAAAGATGACACACTAAATTCAATACCTGTTGGTTAGTCAATAAACTTTTCAATTATACTAGGTTGAACCGTTAGTACTTTTGGTCGTGTATCCAAATTCAAGAATATCATCGTTGGTTTTTTGAAATTATGTAATCTGTTCTCATGCGTTGGACATCTGAAAAGGACATAACCGTTATTTATAATCATCGGAAAACTTTATAAAAGACGCTCGAACTAATTTTCCACGATACTATAAGAGCCAAAAAAGATTTTTATATCTTAATTTCAGAGTAAACATTCTTTCGACTCTAGGATCTGCAGTAATGAACGATCTTTGTCTGGCCCATTTGGGAACGGAGAAAGTGACGTCGTTTGCTCATCAGAGTCATTACTGGTCTGATACTAATGCTAATATTAATAGGTAAGCTGTTATGAAATAAACCTTGTTGGATTCCTTGATTTAAATTTGATGAGTCGTGACAGCTTATGCATACCGAGTTTTGTTTGGCATGTGCGAGTAGTTGACAGACTTATTCGGTAATTATTAACATTTTCTAGCAGCTAATACTAGTTTTCAGGGTCATATAGGCTGTTTTCGCACCTTAATAGACCAATTTATTCATTCTTTTCCGACCATAATCCCACTTTATCGCTTATCGGTTTATTAACCCTGATTGTTTTTATATGATCGTATGTGTTAATAGCTCGCCCTGTTCATTGTGTGTCTGTAATTTACCTTTGATCTGGCTGTAAATATTGATAAGTGTTTGATTAATCTAAGTTGGCTTGCTCGCCTCCATTGAGCGTCACTTCGTTTTGTTTCCTTCGCCTTGTTTCCCTGATTGTCTGTTAAAATCAATGAGTGCATGAAGTATAGGTATTCAAAATCTATTCTCATATTAGTCGTATATAATTCCAACAATCATTAAGTTAATAAAAATGCACGAGGATAGCTGGGATGTATATTTCAATAACAATCAGCAAGCGATCTAACTGGGGTCAGATAAAGGGTTTACTAAAGGCATTTTAAACTCGTACTGTACTTTAATTACTATTAATTCATGTTCCAAACGTACAAAAATAGTACATACGCGCAGTCTTAGCGGACACTATACACGAAAAGCTATGAGGAGGACTTTTAGTCGTGAGGAGATAACAAAAAGATCGATGTCTGATAATAAGACCAATTTCACGGAAAAAATTTAACAGCCTGGTTGTGATATTGGATGCCGTAATCTAGTTACAGCTCCACAATTACCTCAGTTTAGTGGATTAGCAGAGAAGTTCATTCGACTTTTAAAGCGTGCTATTACACCAGTGAATGAAAGTAATCTTGTGAAGCTACAAAATGCAACGATAACTTTTTGCTTCAATATCGAACATTCAAGAACTCACAACAGTTCAACTAAACTCTTAGATCTCGGACATTTCGAATGCATTCAAAGAACAAAATACTATGACAATAACAGTTTCGCCGAGTAAATGATGGTTGACCATTTACGGCGATTATGGTTTGGAGGATAGGTATTCGGATGGAAAAGATTCTTGATCTGAATTATTATTCAATTCACAACAGATATATGTGTAGCAGTGAGTTAATCCATCAAGCGAATAGTTCCGTGAGTCTTCGACATTGATGCTGACCTAATTAGTTTTGCTGGACACACCCTTACTGAAGGCTAGGGTGTACATAAACTTCTACATAGTACTCGTGTAACTTAACCTTTATTACTTGACTTTACTCAAGATTTAGCCATATTTTGTTCCTGAATGATGCCGATCATTACCAATTAGGCCTTATTTGACTGAATATTAGGTGACAGCGTTTTTTTGTTGTCTGCCGGAAACAGTAATTATTACCATGATTGCTTGCAGACATAAATTTAATCTTACTTTTTTGGCAAAATTTTTGCTGAATTTCAGGTAATTAGTGGTTATATTTGCTAATTATTTTTCTCTGTACGTTTTTCTCTAGTAAGATAGCTGCTATCAGAAAAACATTTGGCTGTATGGCGGAAGCAGTACTGTACCTTTTGGTATACTTTGTTTTCACACAAGTACCTCCTAAGTTAGGTACAGTATCTTTGTTTTAGTAAAGTTGTTTAAAACAACTGAGTTAAAGAAGTTTCGTTCATCTTAAAAAGAAAATCCGTTCGTCATAATCGAATAAACTATGGTTTGCTGACTGCCTAATTTATCGAACATCTTGCTGAAATCTTGTAAGCTCATTTCAACATACTGCTATCAGATATTAATGTCCGATTTGTGCAGAAGATCAGATGGTTAGTATTAAATAATCCATTTAATCATAACAAAGAACCAGGTCGATGGGTATGATGAAATGTATCCGTATATTTTTCAAAGAACTTTAATAGCAAAACAGTGATAAGGCCTTCTGCATTTGAAAACTTCAACTAGAATTGTCATTATGTTTGTCATTCAATCATGTCTGGACATTCTCTGATGTGACTACAGGGAATCCAATCTGAGCCCATTGACTTAATTAGAATAAAACTACTTGAGTCAGAGATTTTAAAATTTCGTAAAGATTACTGTCTAGAATTGCCAGTTTACCGGCCCGGAATCTGACTCCAAGTAGACCGTATGAATGATTGTTATTGAAATATATATGTCGCCTATCCTCTTATATAATCATCGACATAAATTGCGTTAGTCAATAACGAAATTAAATACGTCAAATAACGAGAATGGTCTTTTGAATACATATGTTTTGTATGTGAAGCGAATGGAATAGAGTGAAGCGAAATGACGCGCAATGGAGAAGGTATGTGAACCAACTCCATTTAACCAAGCGTTAATCGATATTTATAGTCACACAAAAGTATGTTACAGACATGTGATGAATGGGATAGGAAGAGCACATTCATATTCGCTCATATAAAAAGAGTCAATGTTGATAAGTGAATAATTAACAAAGTCGGATATGACTCAACTAGAATGAATGGATTGGCCTATTCGGAAGCTAGAATAAAATATATGGGCCTAACATGCTAACCGATACTATAGTAGCAACCTGAGGTGTCGACAATAAAATCAGGATCACGTAATCAGTAAGTAGTCAACCTTAGTATTGTTGTGACGGGCGGTGTCCAAAATCTGATATAGATACGCACTGTATTACACACTAACCCCTTTACAACCGACTATTGGAGCGAGGAAGTGTATTGAGACAACATATGAAATGTACAAGCAATCATTCATGCATGTACATACCACTTTAATCTTTACAAAATTGATCCATTTACTAGCCAATGAAGTGCACTTGTCCTTTAGGCCACTTCTGATTGCCATTGTTATTAGGCTACATCTGATTGGCTCTACATATCAGTTATATATATTCTCTCTAAGAAGACAGTTGAAATACGTGAGATGGATGGCATTTATTTATCTACAAGAAAGCGTTCAGTTTCGTCACCCCGTACTTTTGAGTTTAATCAGACTTTGAGTAGTGTGCCGTTGGCTCAGTGAATAGTAACACTGTAAGAAACTCAAAAGTAGGTAGTGGGAACGTGTATGCTTAACGATCGTAAAGACAAAGTCACTTCTTACAAATTCAGTTCATGTATCATTGTTTCTGTAGTCATAGTTACTACCCTAAAATTGCATTTGTTTAGTGACATCTAACATAGTCACATTGTTTTGATTTTTAGAGCGAAATGTTTAAGACAGAACGCTTCGGCGTAGAAATATTAAGGAAGAAGTGAACATGATCTTCATGAGCGGCTGGATCCGAAACGAATAATTTAGTACAAAATTTATAAGATCATAGTCGGAATCACGATATCGCTGCCAATAGACTGTATGTTCCGATTACGTAATCTTAATAACTTTATGATCTAATCAACCTTATGATTCGACATAAGGTTCTTGCTAACATCCTTTATCGAAGTATGGATAGTTGACAATCAAATATTCTCTGAGCTGGGCTTCTTAGTACAATAATAAGTATTTTGATGAGAAGTAAATCAGTACACTGATGGGGAACTTAGCATATTGGAAGCAATTAGTATTTTAATTTACATTAAAGATATTGAATGCACTCTAAATTTTAATCTATTAAAAATACAATAGTTACGAATGTTAACTGAGACGGCTATTAGAAATCTGCGTAAGAATAGTAAGTGGATAAAGTTTGATTGCGTTACCTAAATACAAGTATATTCGACTTTCAATACAAAAAATATGCGCAGTATGAGGCTTCAAATAAGGAAAGGATTTCAGAATAAAACAACCATTAGGTCGATGCAGAATACATTCATTAAAGCTATAATAAACTGAACCATACGATAGGTTGTTTGCATTTGGGGAAATACAAAACCTCAGATCTATTCAGAACGTATTCTGGTAGATATGAATTATTCAGTTCATGAAATAGGAAACAACTGTTAACATATATATCGAACTATAATAATCCAGGTAAATTTGTACAAAGTATTTATCAGTTATTACAAACATCGCATAAACTTAGTTAACTTACAATGTTTTTTTTATTTTTGTTAGTACTTCCGTGCAAGTAAAACTATGTTTACTTTAAACAATATTGGAAGTGAAACCCGTTTTGGGTACTTTATTAGTTTTAAAGGTTCTCTAACATTTTAACCGTTTACTAAGCCATAAGCAATTTTTATACCCGGAATAACTATAAATGACATATTGAAACGTAAGTTGTCTTATGTATCATTACAATGATTAAAAAGTGTGTAAAAAAATTTTCATCATAAATTGAAATGTTAAAGAGGAAAAATGTATTTGTAAAATCTCAGTGAAAGAATTCTGAAGTAAATCCAACGTTTCGCCTGGCAATCTGGCCCAAGCTTTTTCGACGAAAATATAACCAAACAGCAAAAATTACCGAATATAAATAAATACATGGTTCTCTGGTTTACTGTATACTGAATACGTCATCCAATCAACATGGACACTGTTTGAAGTAGGTATTTACATGTCTTTTACACACTAATGTAAATAGCTACTTCAAATAGTGTTTACGTTGATTGAATGACGTATTC